AAACAAATAATTTGAGTGTTTTTCTTTAAATGCAGTGTTTGAGGTCCATGAGTCAAGTTGTAAGAATCTACACTCCTGCTATTTCAATAAGTATTAGGCATATTGCTCACCCTGTTAGAGGTACCAAGTTGTTAGTGCATAAATTTGCATTTTCTTACCATAACATGAGTACTGAAAACTTTGTGTAAGGTAAAAGACAACTTTTATTACAGTTCTCATTCTTGAACAGCTAGGTTTCTATTTTAATTCTACTTTAATTCTTCTGTGACTGATAGAATATTAGTAATGCTTAATGTTCAAATTATGTAATCCACCAGCTACAAACAGGTAATTTTGTTTAAATAATAAATGGATTGAAGTTAATTGAACTGTAAAAGTAACAATAATATAATGTATTTTTTCAACAGCAGCTCCATTTATATTTTATTTTACAGTAAATTCACTTCATCTTTTTCTCATTCATTTGCTCTCCAAAACAGCTGCCAGTAAAGACCTCTGCTTCCAATAAACCTCATGAAGAGAGACTTGAACCATAAACTAAAAACTGTTTAATATTGCTGCATTTTTTGTTATCTGACTGCTATAAACTGAAGTTAATTTATAGAGGCTATATTAAATCAGAATTTTAAGTTAGAGACAGTATGACATAAATTGTTTCAAATGCTAAATCAGCAATGGCTCCACCTCTCATTTTGGTTAAGCAGAGTAAGAATTCATTAAGACTTGCTCTACGTTGCTCTGGAGCAAAACATGCTTCACTTTTATTTAGCTATTTCTCACAAGTTTTTCTTAGTCACTGCTCATTCTTTGTCAGCAATTCCCATAAAATCTGAAGATATTTTTTTCTCAATATGCAGATGTATTTTAATAATAAAAGAGAAAAGGAAATATATTAAAAAAGTATATTTCTTGCCCATTCCATTCTCTTCCAGCCAGTAACAAAGAGATGTTTATATTCATTTATAGTAAATTGATATAATTATTTTGCTACCAGTTGTATTGTGCTTTGATTTACCAGGTGGGTACAGCTTCTTAACTTTTAAAGGCAGAAATACTATCTTTAGGTATATTTGCAGATTATCTGGAAAAGTATTATTACTGAGGATGTGTTTAGCATTCTTGAAAAACACTTGTAAAAAAGTTTTGGCATAGAATAAAAGCCTTACATATAAAAGCCTCATTTCATACTTTACCTAAGGGAAAAAGTGAAGAGCAACCTACTTGAGAGTAAAAGCTTTGAAAAATGAATCCTGTTTTTCTCCATTTTTCACGTTTCCAAGTTATTTGGTTCACCTTCAATTAGAACACACACTGCATGCCCATGAGCAGGCCTGGATTCAACACAGGATTTATAATGAAGCTTTCTTTACTGCCAGATATCCTGGAAATCTTAGGCCATCTGGTTTCACAACATACTTGTAGCTGATTATCTGCTTAAGAATTAATTAGGAACACATGTTAAACTGTTGTGATAGCAAAATTGTTGACATTTGTCTTATATGTGTTTTGAAAAGCAACCATTTTCCAAATCAGCTTCCAAAATAGGATGAAGTTGTGAAATAAATGGCAAAATCCACTAGGATTAAAATGCAGGCTCCTTGGCCAGGAATGATACCTAAAAGCATTATATTGTATTTTTCAGCATCTGAGTATAAAAATATGACATAGATGAAGTTCCTTCCCATATCAGTTTAACTCTCTCCTTCATATAAAAGATAAGTGTAGCTTAAAATTGGGAACAAAAACAAAACAGCACAATAGGAAACACGATGAGATTCAGATGCTTAAGGATAACTGAAATACATATTCATTTTCCCAGAGTTAATTATCTTTTCAGTTTTAAATAGAATATACACTTGTGGATTTTATAGTTAAATCATTACCCATAGAAAAAACACCAAATACAGAATTTTCTAAAAATTGCACCTTGACTCAAGCCACTTGTTCTTTCACTGAGGCTTTTTAAAACAAAGACTATCAGCAGCTTGTGTGAGTACAAACAGCAAATTATTGTGACAAAATAAGTTATTGCACATCAAATGGGTGACTGCCACAGACCACTTGTTTTCTCTAAGTCACTGAGAAACAAAATGCCTGAGCAGCTTCAGCTATCACTAGAGAGTTGAGGGGGATGGGTGTGTGTGAATGTTTGTAAGAACATGGCTCAATTAGAATTAAATATCCTGAAATTGTAAGAAACAAAAAAATATTTACACTATGACCTCCAAAATTTTTTATCAAACTGTGAATAGAATCAGTCCTATAACATTTTTTTAAATTAAGGTATTAATAGAAATCATTCTTGCTTTTTCTTTTTATGTCTGATACTAACCTTGCTCAACAGAAAAAAAGGCAACATGAAACACTAGAGTTTTAAATACAAAGGAGTTTTCACTTCCAGTAATTAATAAAAGCATCTTTTTTCTAATAGTGTTTTGAAATCTAATGTTTTGCCTTTCAGCCTCTTTAGTCCATTTCCTTCCATAGGAGTTAAAGACTTCAAATTTGTCATTATATAAATATCCACAAATGAAAGACTTTTAGGCCCTAGTTTGTGCAACTGCTTGCTAATGTATTCTTAAGTCTCTGTGTACAATATTAAGCCAGAAGGCAGCATGAAAACTTCTCTTTGCAAAGTTGAATAATTTCTGCAAAATGGCAACACTTGTGGAGCATTTTGCTTTGTACACTGTGCTGAAGGTCTAATTCTTTTTTGACCTGAGCACCCTGGGATAATGGAATGACAGTTTATACGTTTATATAAGTCTATCTCCTTCCCTCTTCTCACTTCCTTGGGTGAAGTGCATTAGTGCCTGACACCACTAAAATATCATTTAAACATAGAGAGAAACATCAATAGTTACACAACTCATGCTAAGAACTTTAACTACTTTTGAAATGAGTGAGAAGAAAAATGCTGGCATTTTTTAGCAGCCTTATAAGATAACACAGAACAACAGAAAATCTAGTGCTTTTACAGAATTTGTAATTCATCCTAACCTGTAGTTCCAACTTGAGTAGCATTTACAACTCTGAATATTAAATGCAATCTGTAAATAAATTTTCAGCTGCTACAGATATTAGTTAAGGGCTGGAGAAAGCAAAGGAAAGATCATGATAACATCCATGCATATATATATATATGCATATAAATATATACACACAAGTTTACCAATTCCTTATAAACAGTATAGGGATTTATGCATCTTTAAAAGTATAATTTCTCATATATTATCTATATTACCTGTTTAGTTATATGAAATATAACAGCCTCAGTTCCATCAGTCAAAATATACTTAATTTCCCCACTCAAAAAAGTCTAAAGCATCATAAAACATTGTATCAAATCCTTCCTGTGCCTAATCTTCCTGTAACAACAGTGGAAAGATATCACACTTTCTTTACTATGTTACTGTGCATATTGCTAGAAAATTTTCCATATATTTACTTCAGCTGCAATATGTAGCAAGACTTAAACAGCCAAAACCTGCATTCATTATGTTTCTCAGGTAAGGAATAAGTCCTAATCTAGTCAAATATAACACATGCTTAAAAACATGAAAATTACTAAATATAATTAGGACAGATGGAGACAGATCTATCTGCCAAAGATAGACAGGAACACCCACATTAATAGACTTGCAATCAGAAAAAGAAAAAGTACCTATTCACTTAAGAAAGTCTGATGTCTTATAGGCTTACACAGTAGTTGATACAAAAAAGATGGCTATTTTAAATGGATCTGTGAATGACCATTAGTACTGCCTTTTTACTGACATTTTTATTGTCCTTGTACTGGCATGCTGAATTTTTTTTTTCTTATTCTTTCTCCAGAAAGAAAAGTAATAGTGTCATGTAGTATGTCAAGGATTTAATTTAAAAGAACTTCTCCAGCTGATTTGTCATAATAAGGCATTAGTGTTTTCACTGAAAAAAAACTGAATGGAGAACAAGAAAAAAGATGTGGTGAAGTCACACTTCACTCTCCATAAGAATAAGTCCATTATTGTAAATTGATATTTCTCTTTCACCAGTGCCCATCAAGTGAGAGCATTTCAATCTCAAGTGCAGATGAAGGTACTTATTTCCTTTCAACTGTTATTATGCAGCTTATCATCATGATTATTGTTGAAAGATACTATAATTATAAAGATTAATTAGTAGTCAGCACAATAGAACCACATATCTTACATTAAGATTATGTCAGGTTCCAAGAATGAAGCTTTCAAATCACAATGTCTGATAGGTCAGACAAGAATATGAAAATGTATTTTTTTGTTATCACAAAGCCTTTGTACTGATATGTAAAAATGGCAATGAGTCATCTTCTGCCTCTGCATAAGGACATCTTTTTATGTTTATAAAAGCTCTTTAAGTGTTAATTAGGTAAGGACCCATCAAGAATCAAATTAGGAACAATTAACACTCATTCTTACTGCTAAGGAGAATAAAAGAAGGAAACATATTTTGCAGCATGTAGACTCTTACTGAGGTGTTTTACTTGAAATGAGGGCACATCACAGTGCTTCACTGTGAAAGTATCCAAAACTCCTGAGTTTTAGCTTTTCTTTTTTATAAATTAATAATTATTCGAGCAGAGACAAGAAGTTCTTATCAAGCACAGCTGAAGATACATGTGTTGCTGTGTCACTGTTTATAAGAAACAGATATTTCTTAAGCAAGAAATACTGAGCAATACAGTCACAATTACAAAGATTGGGTGTGATCTGAGCATTTCTTTCCTGTTCTTTGCTAATATCAACACAAAAGAATGGCTGAACAGTGACAGTATATTGCATTTCTGCTGCCTTTTTCTTAAAGCTCTTTGCAAAGTAATTTATTACCCATCAAAATATTTGCTATATAAACTCAAAAGGCACATACACAAAATTACTTCTGCATGTCCTCTGTAGCAATTTGTTCACATTTGCATATGCTTCTCAGCTACCTGGTATGATAAGCAAATTGATTTTGAAAAGACAGTAAACAGCCATGAGGAGCAAGAAGACTGAATTTCTTATAAAGATTATTTTACAGGCCAGAAATGAAATGGGATTCTTTGCAATTTCAGGTATCTTCTTGTGAGGACCTAGCAATGAGAGATGGCAAGGGAACTCAGTGATAAAATAAAATGCTGACAATAGATTTTATATCATAAAGGGTTCTGTAGGAAGAAAAAATCACAGAAGACAACAGCTAAGAGCCAGACAAGATTGTGACTGATAGAAACAATTAATAATTGAGTACATGGCCTTGTCCCAGTTTTATGCAAGTGATCCTTGATATTTCTGATTATAATTTCATTTTCTATTCCAGATGTTGTCCATTTTCTTTGCCACTTACTGGGCTTCATATGAAATACTGGATATTAAATTAAGTAACTTTAAAAATAATTAACACTATTGTGAATACTTAGCTCTGAAGTCTATTGTTGGAAACTGTTATATTTTATCAAGGGATGCATTTACACCTCCTGGATATTTTATGGATCCATATGTCCCGTACAGTACACATTTATGATTTAAGAGCTTTCATCTGCAGGGCTCTGGTCAGAGTTTTTCTAAAGTATTTCTTCAAATTCTTTGCTTTCTATACTTAATAAGATTATCCAAATAAATTAATATCTGTAGAACTTTCATGTCTTCTTTCATTTTCCTAAGGAACTACAGAAAGTTGAACATGTTTTAAACCTACATTCCGTTAGCCAGGGATACAAGTCCAAGGAGAGATAGCAGCTGTCTACATTTTATATGTCTAGAGCTCTTTTCCCAGGAGCTCTAGACATACTCACTTCAAAGTTCCAGGACTGCAGTTCATTCATTCCCTAAGCAAGCCAACAAGGAGACCAGGAAGACTTCTATACATACCATGACATCCTCTACCTGTATATATTAATTTAAGATCAAGTATTTATACAGAACTTGATCAGAATGTTAGAACTGCTGCTTCCTGAGAAGCTCAAATAAAAAGTTCAATTACAATATGAAATACAGAAATGTAAAGTAGTTACTGAGTTAATAAAAAATTAATCTAATGCTTTCTTCCAACCTCCACCATCACAAATTTCATAGTAAATGAAGCTGAGCCTGAAGGCAACAGTAACTTCTCTCTCACCTTAGAGGCTGGGTTTGACAGCTGACTGTCATTGCATCAAAGTCCTCAGAGAACTAGCAAATGAGATACATTTCCCTGCTAAAAGCACCTGTGAAGTCAACAATAAATTGATCATTCTTCCAGAGGATGGGGGGGGAAACTGAACAATTAAAGATAGTGTCACTGACTTGCAATTAAGAGTAGTTTCACTCTTTCAATTATGAGAAAGAAATAAGAATTATACTAGAGTTATTGTTAAAAATAGTTAACCTCCTTAACTGTTTACTTGCTGGATTGGCTAGAGTAACTGCTCAGATATAGTTACTGTTCAGTTACAGTGCTGATTATAGTATTTCTGATATTTTCTCTTATGAAGACAAGAAATCAGAAAAATAGGAGAGGAGCAGCAAACTGCAGAAAAGGATCAAGATGCTTTATTTTAGAAAAGCAGATGCTTGTAAATAATTAGACTTCTACTACTCTTCCTCTTCATACTATGCTTCTGTACAACCCATATCCAATGCTTAGCTTAAAAGGAAACTGAGTACATCATGTTACTGTGTTGTAGCTTCCAGAAGACATTTGTTCTACTTGTGCTGGGTGAATTTCTACTCAGACTAAGAGTGCACTCTGACATGTGAGTTCATACAAAAGCCTAAACAGCAGCCAGCCAGCTTTTCCAAGACAAGAAGGAAAAGACTTGTTTGTGTTTGATACAAACTGAACTACCAAGGGAGCCTCCTATCCTAGGTTTTTAATAATAATTTCTTGACACTAGCATGGAATTTCAATAAAGCTGTATTATAAATATCCAGTTTTAGCATTTCTCTGAGGGAATTAATTTCTGGCTTCAGTTAGGGAATTTGCATGGAAGAAATGTGTCTGAATGTATTCAGAAAATTGTCAATCAGATAAATTTTGACAAAGTGTACGGTTCAAATTACATCACATATTTGTGTATATTAAATCATCAGTATTTTAGAGCTAGAAATACTTCTGTGTCAGCTGTCAAGGTCTATTCTGAAGTTTAGAAAAGAGATAACAGGGGAGCTTTTTCATTTCACAGCCTAAATTCAAAACATGTCTGCAGCAAGCCTTTAGGGGAAGGGACACAGGTGTACACTCAGCATAAAATATGGTGACATTTTCTTCTTTCCCTTAAAATTGTTACATTAGTTTACAATAAGGACTCCTCAAAAGGTTACAGAATTAAGGTAACTTCACATTCTGGATGATCTCTATAACGTTAACTTTTTTTTTGTCAGACACAACTCTCTCAGTATATATTCATGTTGAATTAAATATCATTTACTTGAAAAAAAAATTACAAAAACCCCAAAAACCTAATACAATAAAAAACAAACAAACACCCTCAGCCATACAAGCAACAAGGGAAAAAAAGCACTTAAAGATGTTGAAAGTCCATTAAAATTTTCAAAATTGCCTTTGGCAAGAAATATTAGCACATTCCTTTCTTGGGGAACTCAATGTATGCTGTGAAGACCCCTAAAAGGACAATGAACCCTGGAGACATTTTTTTGTGGCCTGTAACTTTCTTGATACCTTTCCTTACATTTCACACAATGGTTTGACCAAAAATATCCATAAGCTTGTCACCTCTCTCCTAGAAAATTTTAATGCGTTGTCTGTGTAAATATATGAAGAAAAGAGCGTCTTCATAATCAAAATACAAACTGCCATTGAACCACCATATCCATATTTGTACCCAGTTCTCTTTCTTCCAACTTATCCCCTTCTCCTCCTTCTAGTCTTTGTCTCCAAGACACCCAACACAGTTGATCTGTTACAAAATCTAAGAATCAATAGTTCATACAACCTGATTTTAAGCATAGAAAAATTTAGGAGGGAAAAACAAAACAAACAATCCTGATTCTTAGTGGACTTTTATGTTCCAACTCCCTGGACAAAGCAGGTAAACTACCAACAAAATTTCATTTTCTAAACTAATATGCACTTTAGTATTTAAAAGGAAGATAAAATATTCTTTTTTATTGTGTTGGGCTGACTTTGGCTGGATGCCTGGTATAACTAAGCCACTCTATTATTCCCCTTCCTAAACTGGGCTGGGGAGAGAAACCATAACAAAAGGCTGGAGGCTGAGGTAAGGACAGAGTGAGATCGCTCAATGATTGGGCAAAACAGACTCACCTCAGAGAATCTGCTTTATTGCAAAAAATCATTAAAAGGTAATAATAAGTAAAAACAAATTTAAACCACTTTCCTTTCACCTCTTCATTCCTTCCAGGCTCAAGGTCACTGACACACTGACAGAGCTGCCTCACCATGGTCTTCCCCACAGGCTGTAGAGGAATCTCTGCTCTGGCATCTCTGGCACTTCTTCCACCTCCTTCTTCACTAACCTTGGTGTTTGCAGAGCTGTTTCCTTCACATATTCCCCCTCCTCTCTCCCAGCTGCTGTTGTGCAGCATGTTTTCCCCTTCTTAGATACTTTTCCCACAGGCACTACCACCATCACTGCTGGGCTCAGCCTTGGCCAGTTACAGGTTCCCCTTGGTGCTGCCTCCACTGAACACAGGGAAACTGCTAACATTTTCTTCTGGAAACCACCCCTGCAGCCCCCACTGCTTCCAAAACTTTGCCATGCAAGTTTGTTTTAAATAGTCCATAACTGCAGAAGGCAGTTTGCTGGACACAGACATTTGCTAGCCTGAGAGAAAAAGCTAATGGACATGAAGAATCTGTGGGACTTTAGTCCACTTCAGGGAAAGAGAGTTAAGTAAAATCAATTCAATGAATGCTGTTCTCATATGGAGGTAAATTGAGTGAAATTTGTCAATTAAGCAGACAAACTGTGCCTTGAAGAACCTAAACAAAGAGAAACTAAATCAGGTCCACTGAAATATCCTCATCAGGTTCCCTAAATAGATGACTAGGATAATTAATTTCATTTTATCTACAGACTTTGTTAAGAATTATCCTTTATTACATTGTGCACTAGCAATAAAGCTGTCTGTGCTACCAATTTAACAAATTCATTTCTTTCAAGGCTTTTACTTTTCTCTAGTCAGAGTTAAAAATGTGGGAGATCATCCTCAAAACATTCCATTCTAACTGCCCAATCTGAAAGAACATTAATCTGCTGTTAATATTGACCTGCTCTGGTCACAGATTCCAAAAAAAGTCCTTAACTGAGGCAATGGATAGTGGATTTTCAGGAAATTCCTAAGTCCTTGTGACTGTCATTCCATAGCATAATGATTGTCTGTTAGAAGCTGAAATAAAATTCAGACAGCCACAACAAAACCCCCATAAATCAAACTCTAGAGTTTCAGAGTAGGACAAATTGCAGAGAGGTCCTCAGTGAACTGACACATCTATATTGAACAGTAATATAGACAGCTATAGAACAATGGCTCTGCACAGCCTGCCTGGAACAAGAGTGTTCATGAATATCTGTTTCCATTTTCAAATGCCAGTTTTAAGAGATCTATTACATACCGTAGCAATCATCTAGACTGAGTGATTCTTTCTTTAAAAGTAAGTCTGTTGACTTACACAGCTGGCAAGAAATTTGAGGCCTCTTCAGTAAAAAATAAAAAAAAAAATCCTTTGAGGTCCTGATGTTACAAGAAATACTCAACTATCAATATAAAGCTAATACTTTCTCACAGCCAACTCTTCCTTCAATCTTTTTTTTTTTTCTCAACACTAGAAGTCTGAGTTCCAAATGTGATCAATTATTTTACTATATCAGCCACTGACTATGCTCAGATGTTATCAGTTCTTTGTAAAGGAACCTGCAAGGGGAAAAGCGGCAGACTTCTAAAGTAGTAGAGATGTCAAGGTAAGAACAAGGGTAGACAATGTCCTTGAACATGTGTGCTCACCTATAAACCTGTACAATGTGTGAAGCTTTGGAAGTGCTTTACACTGCAAAAAAATCAGTGGATGTTAATGAAAGGATATTTTAGGGAGGCCTGGAGAGAAATGGAGTCTGAATTCTGGAAATCAAAGTTTTAAAAAGGTAGCAAATTCTAATGAAATCTTTCTAAACTTGTGGAAACTTTGACATTTCCCAATATCACCATTGATCACATTGTCATTGAAGCAATCCTGAAATGAATGCAACAATTAACATTGCTGTAATCACTATAATAAACCTCCTGAGAGCAGTCACTGCAATAAAATTGGCATATTAAATATATGAAAAAATAATTGCAGGTGCAACTAAACATGACTAATGATCAGACAACAGCTTCCACATGAAAAGAATATTAAATAGTTTTGCACAGTTGTCAGAGCCAAGATTGTTAACATATTGGCTTGTTAGAATAGAGCATAGGGCAGGAGGATGGAGAATCTCCATTAAAGGAGTCCTATTTTACACTGTTTCATAAAATTTTTCAGGCATGTTTAAAATGTAGGTGTTTGCAAACTTCACTGGATCACAAAATGTATGGAATGACAGAGTCTGACAGGCATCATCTGAGACTGTGTGGCAGCTTTCTTATGAACTTTAATATGCTACACAATTTCCTTTATGGAAAAGAAGATCCGGTAGACTTCTGCTGGAGGTTATTTGTAGATAATGGCATCTAATCTCCTCAGGACTGCAGTGTTGTAAGCTTGCTGTTTTATGGCTTGGACTTAAATGTTGTAGAATCACAGAACAGCTTGGGTTGGAAGAGACCCAAACCCTGCCATGGCCAGGGACACCTTTCACTAGAGCAGGCTGCTCAGGGCCCCATCCAACCTGTCCTTGAACATTTGCAGGGATGGCACAGCCATAACTGTTCCAGTGCCTCACCAGCCTCACAGTAAAGACATTTTTTCTAACATTTAATCTGAAGCTGACCTCTTGCAGTTAAAGCCATTCCCATTGTCCTGTCCTTTATGCTCCTGTAAATAATCTTTCTCCATCTGTCTCACAGGTACCCTTTAGGTTCTGGAAGGCCACAATAAAGTTACCCTGAAACCTCATTTTCTCAAGGCTGAAAAAACCAAATTCTTTTAGCCTTTGAATATGTGGCTGATTATCTTGTGGCAAGTTGCTTATTTTCTATATAAAATTATGTGAAACAAAGACAAAAGGTAAACATTTGTGCCAAAGAGTAAACAAAAAATCAT